GGTCATGATCCTGGAGTCCCGGGATTGAGTCCCGCATCGGGCTCCCTGCTTGGCAGGGAGTCTGCTTCTCCCTCTGACCCTCCCCCCTCTCATGTGCTTTCTGTCTCTCTCATTCTCTCTGTCTCAGATAAATAAATAAAATCTTAAAAAAAAAACTAAAATAAACAATAAATCCTACTGTAATAAGCAGTGTGAAAATCAGGTAATCTGCCTCATTTCTGATTTACCGATCATTTGTTACACAGATGGCTAGGGTTTGAAAATTTATAAGCCCTTTCCTTGAGCAGAGATTTAAATTCAATCCCAGCAAACAGTATAGTATAAGAAAAGTCTCAAAGGTGAACATTTGTGGTTATAAAAAAAAAACAAACTATGAAGAACCTCAAGGATTTCTGAGCTCCCCGCACTCAATTTCTAAGTAGCTTTTACCTTGGCTGATGTTTTGGCCAAAATGTCCTGCAGCTCCATGATTTTCTGCACGAGTCCATGGAAGTCATTGCAAGTTGGACAGGCTGGAATTACAAACACTACATTGGTCAAGTTGTATTTATAAGGAGGTCAATCTAGTTAGGTCCATGCTGACAACTAATATATCGGACCTCCGATTTCAAACTGACATTCTGGAGAAAATTAAGCAAGAAGCACACTTTTCATCACACAGTGCAAGAACTAATGGACTTACTGCGATTAAGATCTGGGCACTGAGCAATAAATCCTTGGGGCATGACAAGTAATTGCACATCTTGCATTATACCCTGTGTGCAAAAAATTTTTAAAAAGATGTATTACTTTCATCTACCCAAATTATGTTCAACAGTCAAGTTCATGAAGGAAAACATTACAAGATAGACGCACCAAGATCCCTAAACAACATTTTTTGAATACATCACTTCTACTTCAGACCAAAGGGAAAGAAATACATCAGGCAAAATAGATGATTACCCATGTACTCTCCTATTGATAATATTTTTAAAGCCTTAAGATTAAATGTCAAGATACAATTAAGAGGGAATAGTCATGTTGTTTTGAGAAGTTATTTTTACTTAGCCACTGGAGAAAATCTTGAAAATGACCTTTAAAAATCAACCCGAAAATCACTTCTGGTTTCAGCAACAGTGAAACTGATACCAATTTTAAATTAACTGCAGCCATCAAAAAGAAACAGATAGAAAAACTGAGTCATAAATGCAATACTCATTTGAGCATTTCTCATTTTTCAGTCGGACCTTTTAGAACTAATTCGTCAATTTATAAAGGACAATAGATTCATTAACCAGCTGCCACAAGACTTAGCGACAAGTCTTTAGGAGTACAGAAAGTTTAGCGTGAAATTTTTAAACATTCCAGCAGCAAATAACCCCTTTTACACAGAGGGCTACATCACATGTCTATAGGTAAAATTTACATGTATCCTTAGTCACTAAGGCTTCATTAGCTTCCATCTTCCTGGGCTCTTAAACCAAAGGCCAACGGTAACTCATCAGACACACTCCAGCTGTCCCTTTCATCTACCAACCCTCTCTCTTCCTTCATCAACTTTATATACTTTTTAATTAATATTTCACTTTATTCCTCTGAAAAATGCAAACAGAATGTCTAATGACAGGGTGACAGGACCAGCATATTATCAAGACAATTTTGAATGTACCTACAAAATATACCAGTCAAATATTGGCCTGTATCTCCTACATGTTTAATCTAATTAATAGCATAGTATAAGAAAAGTGTCAATGTGAATGATAAATATTGTAGCATACCGTGTGGAATTGCTGGATCTGTTGTTTGCTTGGGGTTTGGATTAAAAAGGCAACTTCTATACAAACTCCTATCACTTGGAAGCAGCAACATGAAAACAAGGCTACCATGTACAGTTAAACACTGCACAACTCCACTGGACATCACTCACAGTCTACAGTAAAAATTATGACCCCGATAGTACACATAATTGATGTGTGAGAAGGATTCTAAGGCCACATCCAGGCTCCATGGGAAAGACTGCCATGGTTAAAAAGAGGAGAGACTTGACATCTACAAATGTGCATCCCTCATGTGGTATAAAAGCACTCATTGTTTAGGATTTGTGAACATGGAATCAATTCCTCATGACTGGCTTTGGGCAAGTCACTTAACCCCTCAGAGTAGGTTTATGCACAGGTAAAAGAGAAAAAAAAGAGCCTGCATCAAGGCCAGTACTACCAAGATTCAGGAATAACACATAGAAAGCACCTGGTTTCCAGGTAACAAACAGTTTAAGTAAGTTTAAAAAACACCTTCCCAGGTTACAGAGCTTACTTAGAACACAACTTCAAAATCACTGGTACCTACTCTACCCAGAAATCCATGAGTCAGACTCAGCACCTATTATTCTTCAGTTAACAACCATTCGCTGAACCACTTCTATATTATAGGCACTGTCTTAGTCCCTGGGGGAAAATGATTACCCTACGGCTTGCAGTCAAGCAATTTTCTGGACCTTATTTCTTCATCCTTAAGATACAGAAATTTAAATGATGTCTTTTAGATCATCTACAATGATGAAATTCTATGAAGTGTGTCTCAAAGTAGGCACTAAAAAAAAAAAAGAGACAAATTATGACTGCTTTCTAGTTTTGACAGATTGTGCATATATATGTATTCCCCTTTCACATTCTGTAGTACAAAAAGACCATGAATTGTGAATATTGAAAAGTTTTCAATCCTCTGTTATTAACATCCATGTAAAAGTATCATCAAAGGTGACGCTTCAGTGGCGGATAGTTTATTTGTAAATTAACATCTTAGGTATTTATTATTTTGAATGCCTAATCTCAACAATGATATGTTAGTTTCCCGATTGCTACTTTGTGATTATCTCTGTAATGTCTAAAGATCAAATTTATTCAGGAAAAAAGAGAAAATACTGTAGGTCAGCTAAATAAAACACTGTGTAAAAAAAAAAAAAAACAGACGAAATAGAAAAAATATACAAATCATTTTGTTTCACACCACAAAAAGCAAAACATAATTTTCCAAACTCATTAGAAAGCATTTATATTTCTATGCTATCATCAGCCCTTAGCCAAAAAATACCTTAAAATATCCATGCGCATTATTTCTCTGTCCCAGCCAAAATGTTGTGCCCAGAGGCAAGTCTGTGGAGGGCTTTTCCACCACTCTCTCGTATATTCTGCAAAAAGGAAATATCAGAGTAAGCAGTGTGAGTTGACAGTCATTTCGTAGAATCTTCCACTTCATAAACTGAGAACATTTCACTTACTTATTGCAGTCAACATGTAAAATCAGATGGGAGGCACTGATGGCTAAGGAGAGCTTGTGCCAATTGTCATCAGCCAAAATGTATGGAAAGACTTCCGTGTGCGGGTGGTGACTGCCTGACCGATAATGCAGTCTGACTTCATTCCGATGGCCACTGCTCTCCAGCTCCAGGTACCTGTGCAAAGAAGAGGCCCATGGGGACCAGGGAAAATAAAGTTCCAAAATTACTGACATGACCTCCAGCCCCAGAAAGATAGAGTCTAATGTTTTTCCTATTCCTCCCACTGAGTACAACTAAACATTATATTGTAAACAGACATGGGAAGAGTCTAAAAGATGGAGTAAAGAAAGAAAATCAGACCCAAGGTACTGGCTTCCTAGGTTTTCTTTTGGCCTCATATATCC